GCTCAGAACGTGCCTCCGAGTGCTGGGGTTGATGGCGTCCATCTTAGTAGTACCTTTTGGCCTACTGAGGTTTAGAGACTTCCAGCGCTGGGTGTCTGCCCACTCACGGGCTGGGGAATAGTTCACGAGGGGAATGCAATAAACGGAGTGTGGAACCCACAACTCTGCATTGCTCACATAACTTACCTCAAATTGCTGACAGTGTGTCTTTCATCTAAACACTTTCTAGCCTCCCTTCAGAATTGTCATGTCTTGATTAGGGCTGTTGCGGTGACCGTATTACCACCACACCGGCGGTCACGAGTCATGAAGGCAGTCAAATTCCATGTGACTGTTTAGTCACGGTAATTAGGCTTCCCCAAGCTCTGATGCTGCTGATGGTCATTAGTAGCCTACCAAACTTGCTAACTGCCTGGTACTCAGCACTCTATTGTCCCTCTAATCAGTCTGACATCAATGCAAATGTAATCGAAAATCTAATCAAACACTTCATGAGAGCCAATGAGCTCATGTTGTGCAACATTTCTACAGGCTATGCAATTGTGTGAGAAAACAGAGATGGCCTCTATTAAAAAGAGAGGAGGATCCCATCAGCTTTCTATAGGCTAGGCCTACTATATATATATATATATATCTCAACTTTCCTAATATTAAGCACATTGCTTATCTTTAAAAACAGGAGTATAGCCTACCTGGCTGGCATGAAAATGAACCACAGGAAAAGCGTCCTCCATTCGCCATTTAAGTGCAGAGATGACATGTATTTTTTCCCCTTCCCCTGTTTCGAGACAGATGCATGAGAATGGTCCATTCTAAATCAAAACAAATTTCACATATATATTACTTAGTATATGTAAAGACAAGATTAAATCAAGAATAGTCTGATGGGTGACAATGTTAGCCTTTCACTTCTGAATTATATATGATCACTGGTGAATGATGCCCAGCTTAAGGCAAGAAACAATGGCTTTTTCTAAATCATAGTCGCACACCTCATGTAGCCTAGCCCATATGTTTTGATAAGGTTTGTATCACAACTAAAGTGGCCAAATAACTTCTTAAAATGAAGCACATTAATCCGCTTGACAACGGGTGTAGAGCCTAACTGGCATACATACGCAGCGCGTGAGTTTAAAGTTTGGGGAAGATAATTTTCAACATAAAAATGCACCTTTATAATTAAAGCATTACATGCATAATCACATTTGTGGTCACTTTTGATAATGATGTTTTCCTGCGAATGGAACATTCACACTTATAGCCTACTACCATGTGCGCATTGCTGCGCTTATAATGTGAAGAAATAGCCTAATAGTTTATCAACATTTTAAGCTTAACGTCCTGATCTGTTGCGTCAGCCTCATTGCGTAAAAAATGTTTTTTGATGCTAGTGGTTGTATTAATTTGGGATCTATCGCATCCCACAACTGTCCCAGACTATGTTTGTAATATTTATTTCTCACACAGAATAGAAGGTCGACTTTCGTACTATGGGGGATAGTAGATTGACATAGGCTAGTGCTTTTGCTGTTTGTTAGGCCTACTCAACTTGTTGGCTGACGAAAAGTAAATGTGGACAGTTCTTCCATTATCTTCAATATGCACCTCGGAATTGGATTAGGACGCACGCAGTTGCGTCCCCGATGGGTCTGTCTTCACTTGTAGACTGTGAGAAAGACCCGATCACATGATGGAGAGCCATGTGAGTGAGATGAGAGGTGCTTCGGAGCAGACAGCACTCAGGGAGAAGGGCTGCAAAAGGCATGGCATTTTTTTGGGTGCATTATGGCCACACAAAGGGGATGCCGCCGGGAAATTCAAGGCATTATCAAGTACTTTTCAAATAGTGAATGAGAGACTGACGAAGTGTGTACAGCCTGCGCAAAAAACAAAGCAGAGCTCATGCCTTTCAAGCAACTTTTTTCAAATCATCATTAGAGTCGCATTATGCAGCCTTACAATGTATTAAAAATCAAAACATATAGCCCAACGTTTGTAGAACTAACGTTACATGAATAACTCTAAATTCAGCATATAGGAGTACCTATTTCTTTGTTAACCGCTCAACACAGAATAGCCGCATGTGCGAACTCCCTCAAACCGTTTGGAGAAAATATATTTTATATTTGTCCCCTGTAGCTCAGTTGGTAGAGCATGGCGCTTGCAACGCCAGGGTTGTGGGTTCGTTTTCGCACAGGGGGCCAGTATGAAAATGTATGCACTCACTAACTGTAAGTCGCTCTGGATAGGAGCGTCTGCTAAATGATTAAAATGTAAATGTATTTTATTCAGCTTTGTTCAATTGTATTCTTCATACTATAAAATATAATATAATGCCAAGGAATTCTAAGCAAATCTTGTCTGCTAAATGAACTAGTGTAGCCCACAGCCATACGGCATAGCCAGATCAGGACCTAACATAAGGACAACTCAGAGTATGCTATTCTGTTCTTTTGAAAGACTACATTTTCTTCATATCATGTTTCTTTAGACCTGTTTAAAATAAATAATGGATTTATTGTGAAGGTGTAGGCTTTATTACTTGGATTTATTAGACTTTTTTAAATGTAGATGTTCCAAAGGTCTGCATCAGTGGCTTGTAGGCTATGTGTGGAAGCCAGGAGATGCTAAATGTGTTTATGTTAATTAAATGGTCAATTACTGTGAGACCGACAGTTATTTGCATGACAATCACCGGCTGACAAAATGTAATGACCGCTACAGCCCTAGTCTTGATCAGAACGGACAATACGACTGTGGTGGCATACATCAACTGCCAGGGTGGTGCTTGCTCCCTGCGCTTACAGACTATGCATCAGGATTATTCTGTGGAGCAGCACACCTACTTTCACTACGCGCGACTCATGTCACGTACATACTAAACCTAGGCGCAGACTTCATCACGGGGATTGGACACTCCACCCCCAAGTGGTTTAACACTTTTCCTCCTCTAAGCCTCATACTCTCCCCTCTTGTCAGAGTGAGGTAAGACTCATCTTGGTAGCACCTCGATGGCCAGGCAAGCTCTGGTCAGTGGAGATCATTCTCCTGCTGTACAACAGCCCTGGCAACTCCCGTTACGCAGGGATCTTCTGACCTAAGCAAACAGAGATTTTCCACCCTCACTCGGACACAATGGCCCTCTGGGCCTGGCCAGGTCAAATCTTGATGCAACAGGCCTGCCTCAGTCATTGACTATCCAGAGTGCCAGGGCCCCTTCTACACACTCACTGTATGGAAACAAGTGGTGCATTTGAGAAAATTTGACCAAAAACAGATAATTCCTTACCAATGCTCTGCATCAGAGGTTTCATGCTTTTTGCGGGTCCTTATGGCTTTCTCCTCTGTTAAGGTCTTTCTAGACGCTATCTTGGCCTGTCAAATAGGCTTCGGCAATAACACAAATGGGTAAAAACGTATTGTTATTTCGTTTGAAGAAGGGGGCGCATCGCTTACGTCCAGTTTTCAAAGCCCTGTCTTGGGATCTGTCTATTGTGCTTGAGGCCATTTCACAGCAGCTTTCTGAGCCGCTGGAAAGCATGGAAATTAGGTATCTCTCCTTCAAGACCGCTTTACTGGTCGCCCTTACGTCCACAAAGCGAGTGCGTGAGCTGCATGCACTGTCAGTTCACCATTCGTGCCTACAGTTTGCCCCAGGCGTTTCCCAGGTTTCCTTGTTGTGACCCCGCCTTTATGCCTAAGGTCAGTAACAATTACAATTGTCTCGCCTTGGAGCTTGTGGCTTTCCACCCGCCGCCCTTCACTTCTACAGAAGAAGAGCGTCACCACCATTTGTGTCCAGTTGCGCATACACTTGGATAGACCGAGAGCTTTGTGCAAGAGCGACCAACTCTTTGACAAACTCTCCCCCTTGCAAGGGGAGGCCACTCTCTCGTCAACGGTTATCAAATTGGATTGTGGACGCTATTATATTGGCCTGTAATGGCAAGGGGTTACAGCCTCCGGACGGCCAGAGGGCTCACTCCACCAGAGGTATGGCTACCTCTTGGGCACTGTTCAAGGGCATCTACTTACAAGAGATTTGCGATGCGGCTTGTTGGGCATCCCCACATACATCCCCAGGTTCTACCGGCTAGACATCACTGCAACTTCTTTGGTGCATACTGTCCTCAGTGTCGGGGACTCTGAGGGTTGATATGTTGAGACTACCTGGCTTCGGAGAGCGATACTGGAGTTGGCCATATCCTAAGTGCGATATCAGGACAAATAATTGAAAGAGAAATCAAGGTTACTTTCGTAACCCCGGTTCTCTGCCATTATGAGTGAGATATCTCACCGCATTCCCCTACTCGTAAGAGTGTGTGGAAGTTCGGCATGCTCGAGAATGACCAGAGGGCAAGCTAGTGGCTCCTTATTATGAAGGGAGGGGGTTCACCTCATTTGCCACTCGACCTGTTTGTCTAACAGACGTGTGTAAATGGTTCCTCGAGATACAGGTGAATCCCACGTGAGACCTCACTCAAAATATCAGAGAATCAGGGTTACGAAAGTAAACTTTAGATACCTTCTGACTGGCCTCATTCTTTCCTGACCTGTCACCCTAGGCTGAGTACTAGTAGCATCTTTGTAATGGAGTGGAAATGGTGAGTACTGTCACACTGAACATCTAAGAGTGTACTAGCTAAACTGTTCCTTTTTCAATGTCAAATGAGTGTAGGGGAGAAGTGACCGTTGTAAAACATAAAGGGAGCTAACAGTCTAAGTGACTCTTTTGGCATAGTGGAGCCCACAGTCAAACCCTCTTCTGCTCCTGTGGAATGCCCAACTTGATCCATGAGCCATGTGGCAGCCCGCAACCCTTGGAAAGCATGCATGACTATATCACTTCCTGACACTGGGCTTAAAAACGCATATCTACCTGCATTTCACAGGTACTTAGCTTAATGCATAGCATTAGCATGCATTTGAAGCTATAACGTGACTCACAATACATACGTACAGGACTAATATCAGACCTTGAACACACTAGTGATATTAACCTAGCTAGCGGTCCCTTCCTCACCATATCCAGGCCTTCTGCTGCTGTGGCTCTTACCGACACCAACGGCGCCAAACTGTAGGGACACCAGGGGGCTGGTGCTGCACTGACTGTACAGGGGCACGGGAGCTCGGTTGAATAGGCCGTAGGAGCCCACCGACTGGAATGGAGCTGAAGTGGCAGCAGGAGCAGGTGGAGGGGCCGAGCCCATGGAGGACTGGAGAGGAAGAAAGCGAGAAATGGGAGTTGAAGCCAAATATCACTGCAAAGGTGCTATTAGGGATGTGCATCGCTCATTTCATGAACGAGTCGATACGCATCTAGATGCATGGGCTCCGATACGTTTTAGTTTGATTAGAGGAACGAACTGATGTGATTCAGTGCAGTAATTTTTTTTGCATGAACACATTAATTTTCCATTTTAAATTAATATCTGCTGCTGATGGGAGTTCAGGAGCTGGGCCTCTGAGCTGGATCTGTCTGAGATTACTTCTCTAAACTGAGTGACCCTCTGTGTGTGTGTGTGTGTGTGTGTGTGTGTGTGTGTGTGTGTGTGTGTGTGTGTGTGTGTGTGTGTGGAGGCACCTGAGCTGAGCTATTGGGCAGACTGAGCATCTACCACCCCACTATCAGATTAGGGGTGGGGGGGAACTGTTCAGTATGTTCGTCCCCCCACTTTTTATCTCTATTCACCACCTGATTAACTTGTTCTTTTTGCAGATTGAAAATGTTGAGCTAGTACCATGTCAATATTTGTTTCAAATTACCTTGGCATTTAGCCAATTAATATAATGCAGCTTTGGATTTTACCCCCGTCTCGAAAGTGAATGGTTTAGACCATTTGGAAGTTTGTTAACTTAAAATGACAACGACTAGGTTCCAGTTTAACAACGTTTCCACAGGCCAGGTCCATCAACAGTGAGACTACTGCACAGGCACACTAATAACAGAATGATAGCACCGTAATAAGTGGTCACCAACGAACTATCATGGTCCAAACACACCAAGACAGTCGTGAAGAGGGCACGACAAAGCCTATTCCCCCTCAGGAGACTAAAAAGATTTGGCATGGGTCCTCAGATCCTCAAAAAATTCTACAGCTGCACCATCGAGAGCATCCTGACTGGTTGCATCACCGCCTGGTATGGCAACTGCTTGGCCTCTGACCGCAAGGCACTACAGAGGGTAGTGCGTACGGCCCAGTACATCACTGGGGCAAAGCTTCCTGCCATCCAGGACCTCTATACCAGGCGGTGTCAGAGGAAGGCCCTCAAAATTGTCAAAGACTCCAGCCACCCTAGTCATAGACTGTTCTCTCTGCTACCGCACGGCAAGCGGTACCGGAGTGCCAAGTCTAGGTCCAAAAGACTTCTCAACAGCTTCTACCCCCAAGCCATAAGACTCCTGAACAGCTAATCATGGCTACCCGGACTATTTGCACTGCCCCCCCACCCCATCCTTTTTACGCTGCTGCTACTCTGTTAAGTATTTATGCATAGTCACTTTAACTGTACCCACATGTACAGTGGGGAAAAAAAGTATTTAGTCAGCCACCAATTGTGCAAGTTCCCCCACTTAAAAAGATGAGAGAGGCCTGTAATTTTCATCATAGGTACACGTCAACTATGACAGACAAAATGAGGAAAAAAAATCCAGAAAATCACATTGTAGGATTTTTAATGAATTTATTTGCAAATTATGGTGGAAAATAAGTATTTGGTCAATAACAAAAGTTTCTCAATACTTTGTTATATACCCTTTGTTGGCAATGACACAGGTCAAACGTTTTCTGTAAGTCTTCACAAGGTTTTCACACACTGTTGCTGGTATTTTGGCCCATTCCTCCATGCAGATCTCCTCTAGAGCAGTGATGTTTTGGGGCTGTCGCTGGGCAACACAGACATTCAACTCCCTCCAACGATTTTCTATGGGGTTGAGATCTGGAGACTGGCTAGGCCACTCCAGGACCTTGAAATGCTTCTTACGAAGCCACTCCTTCGTTGCCCGGGCGGTGTGTTTGGATCATTGTCATGCTGAAAGACCCAGCCATGTTTCATCTTCAATGCCCTTGCTGATGGAAGGAGGTTTTCACTCAAAATCTCACGATACATGGCCCCATTCATTCTTTCCTTTACACGGATCAGTCGTCCTGGTCCCTTTGCAGAAAAACAGCCCCAAAGCATGATGTTTCCACCCCAATGCTTCACAGTAGGTATGGTGTTCTTTGGATGCAACTCAGCATTCCTTTGTCCTCCAAACACGACGAGTTGAGTTTTTACCAAAAAGTTATATTTTGGTTTCATCTGACCATATGACATTCTCCCAATCCTCTTCTGGATCATCCAAATGCACTCTAGCAAACTTCAGACGGGCCTGGACATGTACTGGCTTAAGCAGGGGGACACGTCTGGCACTACAGGATTTGAGTCCCTGGCGGCGTAGTGTGTTACTGATGGTAGGCTTTGTTACATTGGTCCCAGCTCTCTGCCGGTCATTCACTAGGTCCCCCCGTGTGGTTCTGGGATTTTTGCTCACCGTTCTTGTGATCATTTTGACCCCACGGGGTGAGATCTTGCGTGGAGCCCCAGATCGAGGGAGATTATCAGTGGTCTTGTATGTCTTCCATTTCCTAATAATTGCTCCCACAGTTGATTTCTTCAAACCAAGCTGCTTACCTATTGCAGATTCAGTCTTCCCAGCCTGGTGCAGGTCTACAATTTTGTTTCTGGTGTCCTTTGACAGCTCTTTGGTCTTGGCCATAGTGGAGTTTGGAGTGTGACTGTTTGAGGTTGTGGACAGGTGTCTTTTATACTGATAACAAGTTCAAACAGGTGCCATTAATACAGGTAACGAGTGGAGGACAGAGGAGCCTCTTAATGAAGAAGTTACAGGTCTGTGAGAGCCAGAAATCTTGCTTGTTTGTAGGTGACCAAATACTTATTTTCCACCATAATTAGCAAATAAATTCATTAAAAATCCTACAATGTGATTTTCTGGATTTTTTTTCTCAATTTGTCTGTCATAGTTAACTTGTACCTATGATGAAAATTACAGGCCTCTCTCATCTTTTTAAGTGGGAGAACTTGCACAATTGGTGGCTGACTAAATACTTTTTTCCCCCACTGTACATATTACCTCAACTACCTCAACTAGCCGGTGCCCCCGCACATTGACTCTGCAACGGTACCCCCCTGTATATATAGCCTCCCTACTGTCACTTTATTTTACTTCTGCTCTTTTTTTCTCAACACTTTTTTTGTTGTTGTTTTATTCTTACTTTTTTGTTTAAAATAAATGCACTGTTGGTTAAGGGCTGTAAGTAAGCATTTCACTGTAATGTCTGCACCTGTTGTATTCGGCGCATGTGACCAATACAATTTGATTTGATTTGATTTGATAATATAGAAATATAGGGGTACTTAAAACATGAACTTAACAATCTCCCACTTTTCTTTAAACACAAATAAAACCTCAACAAAATAATTAAAAAGTATGATTTACCAATTACAAATGGGTGATGTGACAGTTTTTATTTTTATTACTCAAGCTGCAACTTTCCATTACTGAGTGCCTTTAGGAGCACAAGACCGGATGCTCCCTTTTTAGTCAGACAGTCAGCAAGCTGTGCCTTTGTGGCCGACCACAGAATCCGCTGGGTTCTCTGTGCTTGAATAAGTTCCTTGATGCTACTGATCAAGACAAAGTATATTCGCTGTGACAGACTTGGTTGACTTGACTGCATCAACTAAGGAGTAGTTGTCAGTAACACAAACTACAGGTAGAATGTGCCATTTTGTCTCACCAGTGGTAAGCTCAGAACAGAGTTGCCAGAAAGATGGCATTGTCAATTCCATCCAAAGAGCAAGGGTTTCTCCACCAAGCGTGCTCGGACAACCGTTCTGATCCTCTTTGGCTGCCAACAGATAGGTGACAATCTTCCTTCTTCACCCATTAACACGATTAGATGTCCACCTTGTGTGCCTCCATCTGTAAGGTTCCCTAGGGAAGCATCACTGAAGACAACTAGTTTCAGAGAGTCATCTTTTCCAACATTACATTTACATTTTACATTTTAGTCATTTAGCAGACACTCTTATCCAGAGCGACTTACATTATCTTTTTTTTTTTTTCATACTGGCCCCCGTGGGAATCGAACCCACAACCCTGGCTTTGCAAACGCCATGCTCTACATCCCTGCCGGCCATTCCCTCCCCTACCCTGGACGACGCTGGGCCAATTGTGCGCCGCCCCATGGGGGTCTCCCGGTCGCGGCCGGCTACGACAGAGCCTGGATTCGAACCAGGATCTCTAGTGGCACAGCTAGCACTGCGATGCAGTGATCATGAGGCCACAGAAGCGGTTGAAGGTTCGGGGGATGCGTGTCTGTGGGTTGATCTCAATCAGGGCGTTCCTCTCTGTGTGGATGTAAACCTGCAGGAGACCTGCCACAACATGCTGAAACTTGAGTCACTTGTTGTGATTTCTGTTTACGAACAACTTTGTTTGCCTCATGAATGGTTTGTACAGTGGCGTGTTTTGTGTTGGATGCCAAGTTGCAGCCATCAAACATTACATCAGGTCTACTCTGTCTAGCAGCCCATAGAATTAGACATATCTTCGACCTCAATTGATCAGCTTCAATTCCACAGAGGGGGGAATTCCTTTGTACGGCTCTTGAAGAATCCATGTGGATGGGTTGAAGATTCTTCATATAGTTTTCCTGTTGCATCAGTATTGTTCCATGAACTGTAATAAACTCTATGCTAACGTAACAAAAACTATCATGCTCCTCACGGCCGACCTGGAAAACAGCTTTGAGGTGTGGAATCACAGTTGAGCAAAGGTATGTGAGCCACCCCAGATGAAGTCACCAACATGACAGGCAAGTACTCCAGTCACATTGCAGTCTTGATCGAGCCAATAGAAGACTGCAGGATCCACTTGTGACATATTTTCCACCTGTACTCAGCATTGTTTCTTTGTATTCACAATGCTTCCAGCACTGAAGCGTGTGAAGTGTTGATTATGTGAAGGTACCACACACTTGGTCCTAGCTCATGTAGATCTACAACCACTGTTTCATTGTACTTGGAAGCCAGTGGCAAACCAACAGCTGGTCTGGGCTTAGGTTTGCTGTTCTTCTGGCATGTCTCGCAACTGTTAACTATCTGCCGTAGAATGGAAATACTCTCATCATTATTCCCAGAACTGCTGAGTCATTTCTGTAGTCTGTCAACTGTAGTATGTTCAAACTGTTTGTGAAGTTAACAATACTTTGTTTTTCCTCTGTGACTGTCAGAATCTCTAAGTGCTCTGTGTCCGTCAGAATCTCTTTTTTTTTTCTTTGTCTAAAATGTTTCCACAATAGTGGCCTGAGGTAGTAAGTTCAAGGGTCACTGGTTGTTTAAACATCACTGCCTTGTCATTTTTTATGTCTAGTACAGCCCCTGTCTTCTTGAAGGAAGCTTTGCTTAATAGTAAGGGGATATCTGCAGGGACCACCTCGGTTTCAATGTGACACAGTCTGACCAATTTTTGCTGGTATCTTGACTCTCTTGGTAGAATGGACGATTCTCCCATCTCCAAATTTGAAAGCTCTGTTGCTTGGTGTGTCATTCATATTTAGTTCACTGACATAGGTATCAAGCCATTTTGCACCACACACTGTACGTGTACATGCAATATCAATCACAGCGGATCCTAAGGATTCAACTATAAAGATCAGTATGAGAAGCAGATTCGTTTGAAAACAGTGGTTTCTCTGTGTTTACATTTTCCTCTGTTAGTTGAACTTTTTATATGAGGACTGTCTTTGACTGGTAAGTGCTTTGACAAATAGCACATTTTGATCTCCTTCCATACCTGTCCAGTGGATTTGTGCCGGGCAATGGCGAACTCGTCTGGTTGTCTTGAGAACGTGACTTGTTGGCACCTTTTCTCTGCTGCTCAGTGTAATATGCTGTGTCACTCACTTGCATTCCATCTGTTATCACCAAAAATAATTGACGCAAAAGTCAGCACAGTACAAGCAGTCAAAGCCAACTGTCTCTCCCTACCATCCAGACAGGCAGTATCTAGCAACTTGAACGCTAACACTGCATCCGGGAGAACCATGTCGTACTGGCGCATCTTATTTCACCTCTGTTCGAAATAAATTATGTAGTCCGTCATTGCAACCGAAATGTCTCTAGTAACACGGTCAAAGTTTGAATATGCCTCATAGGCACAGTCGATCTCTTCAAGAAACACAGAATCCAGTGGTCTGATCAAAGTTCCCATACCGTCATCCTTGTTCAAATCGGATATTTCCAGTGCTGTATCTCTCTCTCCCCTCGAGCGATAATACCACCGCAAGTGTTTGCTTTTTCTCTTCCAGATTAGTAGGCTTAACCCATGTCCAGATTCCAAGTTCATTTTTCCAACTTTCATACGACCTCTTCTTGTCGAAGCGAGGTGGCACATTGTAGTTATTAGCCATTCTCTGCTACCAATGTTAACTTAAAATGACACAACGACTAGGTTCCAGTTTAACAACGTTTACTAAACCGTATTTCCACAGTACATGGTTGCCATTGCACTCAGGCCAATCTAAATAAAATCTGAATGATTGAAAACCCCAATCAGCAGTTGGATGTGAGTTGCGTCCACTCCGGTAGGTTACACAACTCCGGTAAGACACACATATGGTTACAATGACCCAGCAAATTACATTGGTTGTCATTCAACTAATAAAGCCTATGATTTGACTTTGCGAAAGCCATTTTACAAGCATCTGAATGCTGAAGGTACCAAATGTACGAATAGCCTATTAGAACAGGGACAGGCCTACCTCTCGTTGGTGCTAGCATCTGCGTCTCCCGCACTATTGTTATCTGTCAGTCATATGCAGTTACATGCATAAAAGTTGGATAAGCTACTAAACTGAAGGAGAGGGACGCATCAATTCAGTAACAACAGATAAGAGGTCTTTTCGGAACAAAACCATGACTAAAAAACAATGAACCTGCAATTTTTAACATTTGAAATCGCATGCTTAATTTGTATCGGTTTGGGCTCCCACAGACCAATGCATTCATATCTTAAACATTTGAACCGGGGACCGATGCAAATCGCATCATTACATCCCTAACTGGGGTGTGTTATGTTCCCCAGCAAGAAAACCAAAAATGTCACTCAAATAGAAGAGGGAACTAACAAAGAGTCACTGACCAACAACCAAAACGAAGCAGGTGGGGTTTTAGGAGGGGTTCTGAAAGACTCATGGGGGTGTCCACTAAAAGTTGACGAGTAACAACAACTGGAACCTAAAAGACACCCACCATGATGGCCCACTAAATTTGCCAAAGAAGAGGCACACAAAAGAAAAACCCATACCAAACCTAGACAGGAAGAAAACCAAAAAGGTGGAGCAAAAATAAATCGGGGAAAATAGAGAGAGCCAACTAAAGGCATTAACCCTCTGCATCTATCCAGCTGGAGCACTGGGCCAGCCACTCTTAAATATCACCTGGAGGAGCACAGGTGAAACACCTTCCCACTAACGAGACGGCAACCAGCACAGGTGTAATCATACTGACTAACGAGGTGCCACCATTCGGTGCGCCCTACGTGTTCACGAGCTATACGTTCAAGTCCAATCTCAAAACATAAATGGAAAAACCAAAGCCTGTAGCATGAATAATAATGCTTTCTAAAATAGAACGACAAGGCAAATTGACACTTGGCTGATTCTTGACTTTTACTACATGTCTGTTTTACAAGGGTGTACTTGGGATATAGAAGTGCTTTGGGGTTGGGAGAAGCTGTACCTGGACGATAGCAGGGTCCTGAGGGAGAGAGCATGTTGGCTTTGGCGGCTCACACACAGTCAGGTCCTTGATGTCACTGCCTCGGAAGATTGTACTCAAAGATCTCATCTCGGGGCGGGGTGGGCCGATCCTCAGTGCCAAGAGACTGAACTAAGGGGGAAAAGACAAAGCATACAGTTAGCATAAGCAGTGACATGACATGCAATGTGTAGCCAAAATTTACTTCGAATCAGGTGCACTGTTGGGCTGTGGGTCGCTTACAGTCTACGATGGATTCCTACTAGGATCAGGATTATTAAGATAGTGGAGTTACTTAAAATTCTTTAATGGTGCAGTTTTAGTTTGTCATCCAGGTGAAACCTGATTGCTTAATGACAACCTTCCCAACCTGGAAACGCTGACCGACATACAGGTAACTGCCAAAATAAAGTAAACACTAACATAAAGTGTCTTAATAGGGCGTTGGTCCACCATTAGCTACAGATTGTATGCCAGATAAAGTGTTTTATAACCAAATATTTTTGCCGTCAATTACTGGGCATTACAGGCAGCATTCGAAATTAAAATGTTTTTATTGGTAGCACTGGAGCACAACATCTCTTCTGGTGCTCCTAGATTATTTTTATTGGATTGAGATATAGCATATTGGGCCTATATGAATTCTAGCTACTTCTAAAGCACGCTGTGCTCTAGAATCTAATATTTAACCCTGAAAATACATTTGTTTATTATAAAAAGCTAAAATGTTAAATTTCAATGACAGGTTTTTGTATTAAATAATTTGTGCAATATTAGGTTTGTACATTGTGTAAAAGCACTACCTATTGAGATGCATTACATAGACTATTCCATGTGTTTGTCAACAACAGCCAGTGTTATTTTATTTACCTGTAGCCTAATTTATTCTAACAGCTAAAATCGGCAATTGCGATATAGTTGTGACTATGACCACAATTGCTTCCAATTTAATTAACTAAACATGGCCATTAACAATTGCATAATAACACAAGCCTACAACAGCAAAAGCCTATAACTTCAGTTTAGGCTATTTAAATAACAGTTTTCTGCAGCTCCAGGTTGGCTACAAGGGACACAAATTGATTTGCAACGACTCCAGTGATATCACCTATTGTATCAAAATGGTAGGCTACAGTAGCCAGGGATGGCCAAAAATGACAAAATAACAAAGACCAATGTATCAACAAACTACAAAATACTTGCATTTTGAAATGTATTTATTTAAAATACATGTATTTTAAAACACAGAAATACATTAGCAAGTAGCCGTCCCGAACAGCAAACAACATTCTCAGTAACGGCTACAGAAACATTTTACTTGCTATGACTGTGATGTTGTTCGTTATCTACCTTAGTGCGTTCAACTGACTTTAAAGCTTACTACAAACTCCATTCCGTTGATCTATGTGTGTGCGTGCACGTGGGTGGAGTGGGATTTTTGTAGTAGAGGACACCTTTTGGTAACATGATATCCTCGCCGGTCCCATTCACAAGGGAACAATAGCAACGTTTATTTTTGCATTTTAAATTTTGTAAAAAAGGAATCATCGCCTTCTTGCTAGTAGTAGCCAGCCACTAGCTAGAATTTTTGGGGATTCTATAAGGCTACAATGTTGTTTGGTTTATTGTTTGAACAGTCACATATATTTGTTTATCAATGCACAATAGGCTACTTTGATGAATCGCCTATAGATCAGATCAAGGAACCAAGCGATAACACCGCCCCCACAGCAGAGGAAGGAATCTCCAGGTAGATGAAAACAGCGTTGAATGCCGGAGCGTATTGCAAGGAGCCACCTCCTTGTGACGAAACAAACAACATTGTAACACTCGGTCGGCCCCGCCTACGTATTCTAATTTAGCAGATGCTCTTTTCACACCATAGTGCCATCATACTTCTGATACCAATGCAGTGTGAAAGGGGGCCACAAAATGGTGAAACACTAAAAAAAATTTGGTAGAAAGGTATTTTGAAAATACAAATTACAGCTCTCGAAAGCATCTTGTTACAAAATACATTGGAGTGTAGTTCAGCCTAGTGAAAAACAAATCACAACATACTCAGAAGTAATTGAAATACATGTAACAGAAATGCTGCTCATCTCTGACAGCAGCCTACAATGGCATAGAAATTAATACTTGATGGCCAACAGATGCATTGTACCATTCTCCACATTTAATGTCAGTTTCATTGTGGACTTTTCCCCAAAACAGAAGCACATGAGGGGGTTCCATAACGCCCACTCACACAGCGCTCGAGACCCAACAACTGAGCATGTGTAAAACCCTTAATTTGCTTGATACGGTTTTCCATAAGAAAAGTCGACATTAGAATGCCATTAAAACCACCTCTTCCGAGTAAATTTATCTAATGCGCTCTAGCGCCTAAAGTCAATTCAACTGGTTTTCCAGTGCTTTTGACGTCGTTATTTCTTGATGCGCATCCATTCTAGCGTGTTAATAGGTTATGAAAAAGGGGTTTATGGCAGGCAGATAAAATATATACCAGCCACTCAAAATTCTTACCAGCCAATACATTTATTCGCAATAACACCCAAAACCATAAAAAAAACGTTTGTTTTTCCAGGTCTCGGATTTCCCAGTTTTTTTTCTTCCAGGTTCACACTCAAAATCACACTTTTCATAGAAAAACAAAATTGGACAATCTAAGTCCACAACAATGCTTAAACCACATCACATTATCTGGTGTACAATCTGTAACTAGGCCACCATGAGCCACCAGAATAGCTTCAATGCACCTTGGCATAGATCAGGGGTCTCCAACCTTTTCTAGCATGAGAGCTACTTTTTTTTAAATGAAACACTGCAAGCTAATCATTTTTTTCTAGCTTTAAAATAGGCACATTCTTCTCTTCTCCGCTCCCCTGCAACTCCTTCCCGGGTCCTTAGTGTACAAAATAAATTAGTGCACTGTTTTCTGTCAATATACCTGGTAAAATAATGGTTAATAAACAACTAAGGTGGGCCCTATAAAATCAGATTTTTTCCCCCAAAATTATTTTTTATATTTTCCCAAATTATGTTCTCAGTTTTATCTTTGGTCAATTCAAGTGTTATGGATGTAACATTTGCACACAAAATGAGAAACAAAAAGGTCTCAGAATTGACTCATCAAGCAGAAATGAAAATGTTAATATTTGTAGAACCCTTTAGGGGAAGTGTAGACAAGTAACGGAACAACAAAACTTGCGTTATGGATGTGACGGAAATTGACAGGCATTTTTGGGAGAACGGACACGTCGGCAAAAATCTGAATCTCAAAGTCTACAGGTAAAATATTAATAGCCACTTTGAAAGTAAGGCTTCGCTACGCACTAAAACAATTATGTAAAATGGTCATATTAAAAATGTACTGTCATGATGTGACATTCTCTGTTATGGATGTGACGCTGTGCAAATCTTTATATATTAAAGATTTCTTCAAACTTCATCATAATACTTTTGTTGTCATCTGAAAATGCAGTGTACCTCAAAGAACCAAGAAATCACCAGTATCTTGAATAGTTATTGCAAAGGCAATCAAATCTCTATTTTCATTGCGAATTAGTGTGCTGCATACATCAACAATTATATAAGTACTTGCACTTTCATAATAACACTAGAGGAAAATGTTGCTATTGATGTGACAGGCTCCCAAAAGACAGACAGCAAATGATGACACTGCACTCCATTTCAAATGTACAACGTTTTAATAATTTCATTCTAGATCATTAATTACAGATGTTTTATTGTAAATATTAAACGTTATTATCAATCCCCTACAGAGGGAAAATAAACATACAAAAACTAACTCAATTCAAAGTTTCTTTGTATTAATCTCACACCCTTTAGTCTGTCAGCACAGGCTCTATGAAATGGTACCTCCTCCCCGTTATCCCAAAAATAACACAGGGACTGGAAAACTTGACCTGCAGCCACCCAAGCCTGGTCGTCCTTGGCTGGCAAGATGTACACAAATCATGTGTGGTAATTTTTCCTCAAGAACGGCATTTCAACAGCATCAGTGTCACACGGGAAACTGTTGAGCGTGAAAAACCCAGCAGCGTTGCAGTTCTTGACACAAACCGGTGCGCCTGACACCTACTACCATACCTCATTCAAAGGCACCTATATTTTTTGTCTTGCCCATTCACCCTCAATGGCACACATTCACAATCCATGTCCCAAGGCTTAAAAATCCTTCTTGAACCTGTCTCCTCCCCTTCATTTACACTGAAATGAAGTGGATTTAACAAGTGACATCAATAAGGGATTATGGCCAATGTATGTCATGGAATGTTTTGTAGACTCAGTGTATACCTCTAACCCTAGACTCAGGGATTGATACACCCCATTTCATTCCCTTGTTTATTTGAGCTAGCTGGACTCATTCCTCATCTCTACTATATATTGACAAACAGTGCCTTCGGAAAGTATTCAGACCCCTTGACTTTTTCCACATTTTGTTACTTTACAGCCTTATTCTAAAATGGATCCTCAGCAATCTACACACAATACCCCATAATGTCAAAGTGAAAACAGGTTTAGAAAATGTTGCTAATTTATAAAAAATAAACAGAAATACCTTAATTACATAAGTATTCAGACCCTTTGCTATGCGATTCGAAATTGAGCTCAGGTGCATCCTGTTTCCATTGATCATCCTTGAGATGTTTCTACAACTTGATTGGAGTCCACCTGTGGTAAATTCAATTGATTAGACATGATTTGGAAAGGCACACACCTGTCTATATAAAAAGGTCCCATAGTTGACAGTACATGTCAGAGCAAAAACCAAGCCATGAGGTCGAAGGAATTGTCCGTAGAGCTCCGAGACAGCATTGTGTCGAGGCACAGATATGGGGAAGGGTACCAAAAAAATGACTGCAGCATTGAAGGTCTCCAAGAACACAGTGGCCTCCATCATTCTTAAATGGAAGAAGTTTGGAACCACCAAGACTCTTCCTAGAGCTGGCCACCCGGCCAAATTGAGTAATCGGGGGGAGAAGGGCCTTGGTCAGGGAGGTGACCAAGAACCCGATGGTCACTCTGACAAAGCTCTAGAGTGCCTCTGTGGAGATGGGAGAACCTTCCAGAAGGACAACCATCTATGCAGCACTCCACCAATCAGG